ACTTAATACATTTTTTAAAATTCAAAATTATACCTCAAAAAATCTGTTATGTTAACAGTTCTGCAAAATCACAAGACTTGTTTCTGGAGTGGCGTTATTAGACCATTACACGTTCAAGCTTGAACACACACAAAAAAAAATAAATAAATAAGCGTGAACTGCTGTGTATTACTTGTATAACTTCATATCAAACACGCAGTACGTCTTATGTACAGAGCCCGCTAGGGGGTCATGGGGTATTTTTTGTTTTATTTTACTTTCCCACGTATTGCATTACCTTACAATACCTTTTGCGTTCCCTCACAAAAGTTGTTTATCACTGTTGTGCCTGCCGTTTTATTAACAAACTCACATGTTCACCATTAGCAAGTTAGTCAACTGTTTGAATTTAGCTTCGGAATGAATATATTACGGAGCCCGGGAGGGGACATGGGAGATTTTTTTCTTTTGCATTCCCATGCAATAGTATTGCGTTACCTCGCAATACCTTTTGCATTCCCTCGCGAAAGTTGTTTATCACTGTTGTGCCTGCTGGTTTATTAACAAATTCACATGTTCACCATTAGCGAGTTAGCCTTACTGCTTTAATTCAACTTCAAAATGAATATACTGTATTACACAGCCACACATGGAGTATGCCACATGCCGATATTTTAACACTGTGCAGCCACAGTGGCGACACGTCCTATTTTGGTAACCAAATATTTCAAAATAAAAGTCTGATTTAATTCAGTTAATACAAAACAAAATTGCGAGGTAATGCAAAAAGTATTGCGAGGTAACGCAAAATTAAAATATCCCCCCGTGTCTCCTTACGGGCTCCGTACTTATGCCGGTTACTCCTAGTAGGTTGGAAGGCACTTATTAATCATTTGTATGCTTGAAAATATGCATCTAGTCGCAGTAGGTTTGGCTCCTCCCCCGGGACATGGAGCTCAAGTGACCGGCCTGGCTGGCTGTCCTTTGACCGGGGAAGAACTCAATTTGCAACATGGAGATCCAGGCTGTAGCCAATGGTCACCCCAGACATTGCTAACAGTTGCTAACAGACAGACAGCAGAGTTTTCCAGGTCCGCTCAGACACGTTTCAAACAAATCAACTGATCTCCATGGTGTGTTAAACATTTCCTGAAACTTTTGTGTGAGACGGGAATATATTTAATCCTAACAAACCAAGATCCAACTATCAAACCAGCCATGCGATTTTGCTCAAAGTTTTGTTTTCTTAAAATTTTCTTCAAATTGATATATTTTTTTTGTATGAGGTAGAGGAGGGACAGTCTGCACACATTGGGCCTCATGCAAGAACCGTTCGTACGCACAGATTTGTTCTTAAATTGTGCGTACGMGTGATTTAGGAGAATTTGTGGCATTCACCAATGTTTTCGTATTCTAMGATTTTTTTCAGATACGAACAAAAAAGGGGGGTGCACGGCGCTGCGCTGCGGCTTCTGAATAAATGAAAATGATTTAACACAGTTGTTTATACTTTTAGCAGCTCTTTTTTATCCCACAGCTGAGCTGCTAAACATGTCAGATTTTCTTTTCTGGATCTCTGACAGACGGACTTCAATCTGAACGCGTAAAGTTTTTATTTTTTCAGTTTTCGCTGTAATTTTCATGAGTGAATGAACACTTCCTTGTATCTGAGGCATAGCCTTATATGGTGTTTTTGGGGTGGTAATTATGCTAATCTCCTCTCGCGTGCACGAGCAGCTGGATAGAAAAGGTGTAAATTACGCAGCTCATTTACGCACGTTTCCTGAAGATAGAAGTGTTTGTTGAATCTGACGTGACATGTTCGTACGAACCCTTTGTACGAACAAAAGTAAGAGAAATTTAGGATAAGAATACGAACATGTTCTTGCATGAGGCCCAATGTGTGGAACTGGTAACCACATAATATAATGGCCACTGAATGTATTGATTCGATTCAAAGCGGGTGCATCAGGAAATCGCTTCAGTCCGGACTAACCAATAGGGACACATCTTACAGTAGTTCCTCCTTAGGACCTGCCAAGGATGTTCATGTGCTCTGAGTTCAAAACTTTTTTGAGTTAAACCAAAAGAGCATCAACCAAAAATCTTTGATATGCAAATAAAAAGTTTTTGTTTTGCAAAAAAAGTTTTGATAAAATTTTTTTTTTATTGAAATCGCCTTTTTGTTTGGTTTAAATAGCTTCTTTTTTTTAGCTGACCTTTTTTTTTGATTGGCTGAAATTATTTTTTTGATTGCAAAAAAATTTTTTGGATTGAAACTACTGTTTTTGTTTGAATGATAAAAAACAAACAAAAAAAAACCCCCCTTCATGCTTTGGTGGGGTTTGAATTTCAGGATTCTCAAAGATTTTGGGAGCCTGATGAGTTCGAAGGTCCCGTCTGTGATTTGCATACGACTTTGAAGGAGCTCATGAAGTTCCTCTGCTCATCTGCACCTCTTATTCCATTGATGTAGAAGTTTGTCCTGAAGTTTCTTCATCCCTGCAGACAAAAAATAAAAAATGTACCCGCTTATAAACTGAAGAAACATATTTCTATTCTCTGTTGAACCACCTTAATCAGTCCGCCGTTTGAAGCCATGCAGTCCAGTTATATGTGGCCAGCAGGCATCTTACTCCAGGCAAGAGTTTGACTGAGATAAGATAATATAAATATATCTGCTTCTGGAAACTTGGAAGCACGTTGCCATAGAGTTCAGAGGTATGATGACTCTGGTGCTGTGATCTTTTTTTGATCACTGCGGAGTAAAAATCCCAGCCTTCAGCCCTTCAGGGAGGCCAGAATAATTTACAGACCTGCCTGCAGATCCTCAAAATGGAGCTGAGACTTTATCGTTTCTCAGTTGCGGCGCTAAATTTAACTGACCTTCCTCCTCTCAAATTCAGATTGATTTCCGTTTCAAACTAGCTCTCGTCAATTTCAGAAAGAAAAACATACATTTTAATCTTCTAACAGAGTTGATTCAGATCTCTGACAAAATGTCTCGCCGTGAGGGTTTTGCAGTTATTTCGTTCGATTGACGAATCACTTTTTAACCTGCTGGAACATTGTTTTGCATTAGTAAGCTGTTTTTGATGGCTGACTTGTTTTGATACAAAATTTATTACATTCAGATCATTTCTTACAGTTCAGTTTTTCTGTTGAATAATTATAAAATTAACTCTCAGCTTCTCGGGATCCATAAAAGGTTCTCCAAGAATTCCTTCTGTTTGACTACTTGAGCCAGGCAGTGGCCCAAGCAGTGCGAGGAAGTCTCATTGGAATAAATGAGCAGAACGTAGCGCGGTGCAAACAAACACTTTATAAATGTACAAATGGTACAAATACTTTGCTATAAACTGCAGAACTTGTTCCAACATGTTTACAAGAGCTAAAAGGGTTGTGTTTCACAGGTAAATATTACGCATATTTAACCAAAATTAATTATTATAATTGTAAACCTGTATGCTAACATAAAACAGCTTCAACGTTCATATTTAACCTTATTTAAAATCGATTTTATCTGTAATATATTATCTACTGATATTAAACATGTAAATATGGACTTTATTGGATTGTTGACTAGTTGGACTGCATATAAAGTCAGAAAATATGATGTAGACTCGCTAATGACAGAAACTAATGTAATGATTGAGCATCATAAACAAAATAGTCATGTTGTCAGACAGGCTGGTTTATTCAGATATTTTCTACATCCCGTATTTGTGTTTTTCAACATTTCCAGAGAAAAAGGAAGAAAAAAACGTGTGCCAGCTGTGGGTCAGCTTCAGATACAGCCTGCATCATTGTGAAACTGAAGAATAATTTTTTGTGATAAAAATAAATTCATTAAACAATTCTTTGTGACATGAAATAATTTGTATTTTTTTAGTTTGCTTTTAAAGATTAATTTTATTATTTTAAATGTCTAAGGCTACGTTCACACTGCAGGCAAATCCGACCCAAATCCGATTTTTTTGCCCCATCTGACTCATATCCGATTTTTTTATGACAGTCTGAACGCGACAAATCCAATTTTTTCAAATCCGACCCAGGCCGTTTCAGTATGTGGTTTTAAATCGGATACATATCTGATGTTT